GTGTGTGTGTGTGTGTGTGTGTGTGTGTGTGTGTGTGTGTGTGTGTGTGTGTGTGTGTGTGTGTGTGTGTGTGTACATGACTGCGGCCGTTGACGCTGTTCAATACTACGCCTCACGTTATCTCTCTATCTTTATATCTCTCTCTGCTTACTTGTAGATGGACTACTACCGTCGCATGAACGCTGATACGCCGAAGGCCCGCTTGCTGCAATCCGTCTCACGGTATCACCTGCAGTGGCACAAAGACTTGGATCGGCCGAGATACGTCGCCTGTGACAGCCTAGCTACGGCGCTAGCAATCAACGCGGTGATACATATAGCTACTGCGTTCACAACTCCTACTCCTCCTACTTATTATACTAACTTATCCTACTAACTCCTACTAACTCCTATAGTATAATATCCGTAGTATAAATCCGTATAAATAAATCCGTATAAATCCGTAGTCTACTAACTTCTACTAACTCCTACTAACTCCTATTAACTTCTCCTACTAACTCCTACTAACTCCTACTAACTCCTATTAACTTCTCCTACTAACTCCTACTAACTCCTACTTCTCGGGTGGCGGAAGTTTCAAAGTGTGCGTCGTGCGAGCGCACTCCGAAGTGGCAGGAGAAAAAAAACAATTAAAATGTGTTTAACGTTGAAGAAGTGTTAGATTTTAAATCTACATCATTCCCTTTCAGGACGTCGTTACCAAACGCGAGGACGTATACGCGCGTGTTGAGCTGCGCGGGGAGATCACTCGAGGTCAAATGGTGTGCGATTGGAAGCGCTTGTATGTTGATGGCGTCTGAACCTGTAGTATACGAGGCGTATAGTATATATCAGGAGCGTATAATGACAAATATGTATATATTTATATGTATATATTGTAACGTCTATATTATGGCGTATGGCGTATGACAAATACGCTCCTGTATATATATATATATATATCAGGGGTTAATAATAACAAATTATTGTTATTTACAACTTATATATGTCATTATTAACCCCTGAATATATATACATAAATTGTTGTGAAGCCTATAGTAGGTACGTATGTGTGTAGGAGGCAGGCGTGTAGTGAAACGGAGGGTGATGTCTGCTTGTTGCTATCGGATCGCTCCTCTGATTCTTCGTGGCTTTCCGATCGCCCCCCTGCTAGCGCGTCTGCTGAAAATAACTCATGCCTGTAGTTACAGCAATGTTTTTTACGCGTCTTTCCCAGTGCTCGCAAGTCAGGAGAATCGATAAATAATGCTCCATGCGCGTTCCCCAGACGGCCGGGCGCTTACAGAAATCCTGCTTATCTGTACTGCTATCAACTGGGGACGGTTTTTATCTTGCGCCTAGGAGAGTCACAGACTGCATCCCTATATGCTATATGCATAGACTATATCTCTAAATTCTATACCCACAGGCTAGAGAAGAAACCGAACGTCGATGTCGTTCTGGAGATAGACGTGGCCAGAGCAGGCGAAATGCTTGACCAGATGCTGATGTAGCTGGTCGCACGTGGCGCCACCCGGTGGCTTGGATGCACTCACCATTGCGGGCATTAGATAAGGTCCTGGTGATGGAAAAGATTCTTTTAGTAGCCTACTAAATAGAAGCGGTCCCATTTTTGTTATTAAGTTTTCAGTCAATATATTTAGCAATTATTATAAGTATATTATACCACGCAACGACGTTATCAGCATCCACGAATAACTTAATAAACAGATTGATAAAAAAACTGGTTGATTGCTTGGTGGTCAGAGGGCAGGTCAACGGTATTTTATAGGACCTGGGCCGACAGATCAGGTCGGTATTTCAGGCGTGAATCATTACTTTTAATCCCTAATATAATAAATACAAATGCAAATATATTAATGAACTGCATTAGATACTAGATATTATATATTTTTCGAGTTTATCAAAAGATAGCACTGGTATCATACACGTTGTTGGTATACTTACAGTGTCCCTATTATGTAGTATGTATTGTTATAAGAGAATATTTTATTGCAAAATTATAAAAACTCACTGCGTTAGCATGGATTCGATCCAGACATTGATCCTTGGTCGCAGTAAATTAATACAGTAATTATTGATGATTAGATTATTGATAATTGTGGAGGGAATGCTGCTTGTACGTAAGTACTACATCGCGTATGTAGACAACGCGCGTTCGTACTTTTCACTTTAGCAAAAGGTGTTTGTTTTTGGTTACTAAAAGAGCGTAATAAACAATATTAATCAGGTATTATATTGCTGAAACATGTCATTTCTTTTTGTTGTTAGATTATTTCATATTTCATATAGAATTTTCTCACTGCGATGTTTGTTAGGATAATTATATAATCTTATATATATATATTCAGGAGTATATATATATGTATATATATATCAGGAGTAGATAAAGGGAATTCCCTAATATATATGTATATATATATATATATATAACATTGACGCATTCCAGACAGGTTTGCCTTATAGCTACAATTAACTTGGAACTTAGGTTCCGATATATGGACTAAAGTAGTCGTACACCGTCCCAGACTTAAACATATATTCTAAAATAATCACACCAACGCACACACGCACGTACGCACGCACGCACGCAGACACACACACACACACACACACACAACCGCACACACACACCCACACACACCACCACACACACAACACCACCAGTGGGCGTGTACAGGAGGGGGGGCGTCTGGGGGTCGGACACCCCCCCCTGCTCGCGCAGAAAAAACGCACTTAAGGGGGTCTAATTTAAAAAAAATTCTGGGGGGAGGGGACCCCAGACACCTTTTCGCGTTGTACCAATTGGGTTACGGTTAACCCCCCCCCCCTGGTACAAATCCTGTACACGCCCTGCACACACACACACAACACACACACACACACACACAACACACACCACACGAAGGGGTTAGGCATCGTGTCAATGTCTCAAAAGGACCGACCGCTACGTGGCAGCACTAGTCTTAGCATTAGCGTTTCGTTCTGGCCGTAGGCATCACTCGCAGTCGAGACGCAGACGAGTGTTTATATAATCTCTCAAAGTTACAAGTAAAATATTCAACGTTATAAACGTCTAAGTTATTAGGGGTAGTTACGGTAGCTATCACTTCGCGTCAGAGCGCAGACCGAGTGTTTATTCATATCTCTCACAGTTACAAGCTTAAAATATTCAGACGTTATAACGTTAAAACTTAAAGTTATTTAACGGTTATTTAGGAATAAATGTACAACGTTTTAATAATAGCCTAAATGGCCAGTCAAGGTCTTATACATAATACGATTGAAGAAGCAGTCAAGGAGGTTGAGGTATATGAAGCACAGGCGAACACTCGATTTTGCTGCTTCTATTCAGACAAGGATTTTGGCCGGATCGGTAAGGACATACACGTAGTTATAACTGACCGTGCTGCCACTGCCAGTCACAGTTGTCATAGTGACACTGTCATATAAAATACATACTCTCATAGAGGTAGAAGATTGTGTGTGTGTGTGTGTGTGTGTGTGANGTTTCGTTCTGGCGTAGCATCACTTCCGCAGTCGAAGACGCAGACGAAGTGTTTATTCATAATCTCTCAAAGTTACAAGTAAAATATTCAACGTTATAACGTTAAAGTTATTAGGGGTAGTTAGGTAGCATCACTTCCGCAGTCAGAGACGCAGACGAAGTGTTTATTCATAATCTCTCAAAGTTACAAGTAAAATATTCAACGTTATAACGTTAAAACTTAAAGTTATTTAACGGTTATTTAGGAATAAATGTACAACGTTTTAATAATAGCCTAAATGGCCAGTCAAGGTCTTATACATAAGAGGAGTGAAGAAGCAGTAAAGGAGGTTGAGTTTTATGAAGCACAGGCGAACTCTCGTTTTTGCTGCTTCTATTCAGACAAGGATTTTGGCCGGATCGGTAAGGACATACACGTAGTTATAACTGACCGTGCTGCCACTGCCAGTCACAGTTGTCATAGTGACACTGTCATATAAAATACATACTCTCATAGAGGTAGAAGATTGTGTGTGTGTGTGTGTGTGTGTGTGTGTGTGTGCGTGCGTGCGTGCGTGCGTGT